CACAGAGGTTTTTAGGAATGAGGAAAGCTGAGTGATCCTGACTCTCTTCTATAGAAGTACCAGCCTATACCACCTGAGGCTAAGTTCAGGTCATACAGAAATCACATTTTTAGACAAGATTTCTTTTAAGCTTCCAGTAATCTTTATGCCTGAAAGAAGTTACATATTCAAGAATTCATACAACAACAACATACCCAGTAATATCCCACACCGTGGGGTCTGGGGAGGGTAGTGTGTACGCAGACCTTACCCCTACCTTGTGAGGATAGAGAGGCTGTTTCCAATAGACCCTCGGCTTAGAAAAGCATATATTCAAGAATTCATAGAATAACCAAAAGAACTGCATAGCAGAAAAGAGAAAAGTTGTGCTTTTTATTGAATTCTACGCTTTATACCATAAGGACCATAATATGGTTAAAAAATAAAATAAAATAAAATTAAGCAGTGTATTCTATAGTGGAAATTTTATCAGAGTGATACTTTGAAAGCAGCAATGGGGCAAAATTAACTATTTACCCTTTGGATATTCTTCTATCCCCTCAGGTTATAAAGAAAATGTAGTTGTTTATATACCTCAAATGAATCAAGATTTTCCAAGGCATCGATTCTCAGGTCCGCAAGAATGACTGATGATGTGCTGTTAAATAGTCTTTCCAGCCGAGAACTGATTGAGTCTGATCATGTAAATTGATGTGAAGAACTAAAATCATTAGTCACAATTCAAGTACATCGAATCATGTTGTATTAAATAAAAGGCAATTGTAAGAACCTTTTGGGCTGAGGGTGATAACACGTAACAGTTCCAGAACATCTTTCTTTCTTTTTTTCTTCTTTTTTTTAAAAAAAAAAAAAACTCCAGGACATCTTTCTAAGACCGGAATATAAGGAGGATACTCACTCCATCGACACGTTGAGACACCTAAAGATGTGATTAGTGAAGAAAGAAGCTACAGATTTTATCTTCTATTTTTCCATTATATTTAAAGCTGATCTTCATGACATGTAAAGCTGCTTTTGATATTTCAACATTTTGGCTATGTTATTTATCGACAATAGCAGTCTTGGCATATATTTTTGCCAAAATATTAGCTTCTGTTTAAGTTTATCCTAAACAGAAGGAAACTTCAAATGTAATTAGAGTCCATGAATGGCTTTTCTGCAATTACTTAGTAAGCCTTGACGAGGTTCAACAAGTTAGTCGTTGCAACTCGAGCATAAAATAAAATCTGTTGGTTAAATGCACAAATTATTGCCCTGAGAAAGTAAACAGAAATACTAAAGATGCGACATTGTAGAATTGAACGCACCTACATCATATGCAGCATCATAGTAACCTCCCCCCATCTGAGCAAGCATTTGCAAGAAGTAGTGATTACAGTATAAACCTGAGAGTGCATTGAAAAAAAGTTTGAGAAACAGAACTACTTAAGCTCACTTATCGAGAAAAATAAGCTAGCTGCTGCAGATGACAGGATGAGAACAACAAAGGGACATAAATAAGCACACAGCAAGTAAAGCAACACAAATTCTTGTATGACAATAAAAAGACATAAGATAAGGCAATAAGAAAATTTAACATGATCTACATTGCTGTCAACGGACACAGCATGACGTGAAACTCGATAATCTTAGACATGGATTATATGCAATATTCTTAAAGACATGGATAGTTAACATACACTTTAAGACTTGTCTAGAGGAACTATGTGTACTAGTTTCTCTCATTCTGGTATTTTTTTTTAAAGAAAAAGTTCCCATATTGATATGACTTGAAGGGAACTCCCTCTTAAGCTTTTATATATGCTTCTCTTATTTAAAATTCAGCGTGATTGCAATTCAGTTTCTGTCTCAACTACATGGTTATTCAGAGACAAAATGATGAACTAGTCTAGACCTAACTGATGTATAATTAAGCACATTGAGAATCGCTATTGAAGCAGGGGTAGAAAGTAATTTAGAGATGTGAAAGAAACACAAACCCACCAATGCCAAAGGTCGAAATTCGTGGAGCTTTCAAGCCTCTCTTCATCAACTGTCCCCTCAAGGTTTCACAAATTTCTCTTTCATCTCCAACAGACCCATCAGTGATTAAAAAAACAAGAGGAATTGAATCACCATTTTTTGATAGCATCTCTATTGCCTGACTTGAAGGAGTTTACAAGGAGAAATTATGAGACTAAAATGTGCCAAAAAAATGTGAAATCAACATAATTCCACATCTTTTGATCAAGTAAATCCCATCATAATATTACATGTGTGGTGCGATAAAATTTGGGACAATTAACTTGGTAAATAAAAGGGATACAAGGATCAAACAGTTAGAGCTAGTAGCAACCGTCCTATTCTAAGCCGCTGCATCAATTGAGTATTAACAAATGACCTTAAAATCCTCTCTATCAAATTGAACACATCATGAGTCAATTTAGGATGCATCATCCACATGAGCTTTTTGTTCAATTATTTCGTCCTCCCAGTACATGCATATCCTCTACACATAGTCAGAATCAAACTAACCCCCCAAAAAACTACAAGATCTGTAACTGAGCCAACTAGGACGCAAATAGAAGTTCTGCTTAATTGCGCTTTCCGTGCAGTAGTCTTCTCTAGAAAATAATAGGTATTATCATGCCAGTTCATAGTAAATGAAAGTCACACTACTTAGCCTGAATATATAATATCTAAAGGAAAGAGCCAATAAGTAGATTTGCCATCTTGACCAGAATGTCATAATCACCTGGTTTAGCGGCAGGGCAATGACAGTACTTCCATCAGCTACAATATTTTGATCAATCCACTGAATTGCTTTTCCGATTGACTCCTTCCCCGATGGCACCATGGATGATGAGAACAATAAGCTTTTCCCATTGAAAGCTATGATGTTAAAAGTATCCGCTGGATTGAGATTAGAGAGGGCAGCCAGTAGTGCAGCTTTAACATTCTCAAGAGGCTTTCCTTGCATGCTTGCACTTATATCAACAATATACACCACGTCCTTCCGGAAAACCTACAAAATCAACAATATGGCCATTAAGTACCCAAGAACAGATTGGTAAAAGTTTTTCTTTTCAATATAATAAAACTTTTTCCAATTTAAAAGAGAGAGAGAGAGAGAGAGAGAGAGAGAGAGAGAGAGAGAGAGAGAGAGAGAGAGAGAGAGAGAGAGAGAGAGAGAGAGAGAGAGAGAGAGAGAGAGAGAGAGAGAGAGAGAGCTAACAAAATTGTGCATGAATCATAGTCCAAAACTCCAACAGCGCTTAGCAAAGAGAGGTAAATAGAGACAGATTCAAGATGACAATAGAAACAATTAATACTATGTACAGTAAGAGGTGAGGCTGAGTTGAGCTTGAGCTTTAAGTTCAAGCTGCAAATTTGAAGGCAAATCTACATAAGTATTCTGCCACATGCCAAAGGAGACAAGATGTAAAAGGTAGTTTAGATGTCCTATGAACTGTAGTTTCCAATGATAAAGTCCACAGTGACGAAGAGTTAACAAAATCCTTTCCTTTTTCACCTATTTTTCTGATTTGGCAAGCTTGATCTGGTTTGGCTGGATCTTAGCTTAATATGTACAGCAGAATCAAGAATAACACTTAGTTGAACATGCAGTGTGACGAAAATATAACATTTTTAGGATTCAGGGATCAAAGTCAAAATTACATTTTGATAAAAAATTGATTCACATTCAAAACATTAAGTTATAACAAGGCTAACAAACCTTCTTCCTATTGACAGTTGGTGGGTGAAGACAGACGCAAAACATTTCTCTCTGATCAAAATCAAGCATAGATGGAGAGTTCAGGAGCACACTCCCATGGATGTCGCTTGAAGGGCCCTGAAGGTAATATGCATGTATTAATGAGGATTTATGAAGCTCTTCGAAATAAAGGAGAGAAAACAAAATGACTAATGAAAAACAAATAGTACACAAAGCAGGTCCAAGTACCCCTTGTCATTCAAACCAAGGGCAAGGAAAGAAGTAAAAAAGTGAACCAAGGAAGTGCCCTTACTTTGTACGAGAAATTGAAGTCATTCATTGACCATGCCCGAACTTCCCTCTCATATAAAAATCCTAAATTACCGGCCAGACGTCTTGTTTCCTAGAAAGAAAAACTAAAAGGTGTTAGAAAAAAATTATCAATTGTTATATTCATGACTAGATAGGTTGAAAACGGTTTACCTTTAAAGGATGACTGGAGCTTTCGCATAAAATCTCTGTCCCCATACCAGAGTTCACGTTCAACTGAATCCTTTCTTTCTTACACAATAGCTTTGCAACTGGATTGACATACCATGGGAAACTGAAAGGTATATTTAAGGAAAATTGACCATCTTGATACTGTAATTTCTGTGACCAACTGACTTTAATGGAGAGAATAGAACCTCCGGCAACCTTGAAAGATCCAAAAGTAGACAAATATAGCCCCTTTCTTGAAACTTAACAGGAATGAAGAAGAAAGCCAAAGCAAGACAGAGATAATCAATTTCGTAGTGTGAGATGGTAATCACCTGAGGGACCTTTAATGTGTATATCTGGCGTTTTAATAAGAACCCATCTTTAGCATTGGCTACCAAACTGGCATCTTTGGTATCATTTGATGCAATCAATTGGGTAGAATATGATCTTGATGGTGTTTCAACTTCCACACCTAGAACTGAACCCTGTCAGAGAAATGATTCTATTTTGAGAACGAGAGAACAAACATCATAATCAAGAAGAAGTTCCTGTGAAACAGCAGTGTGTAATAGAATAATCAAAACTTAAACTAGACAGTGAAGTGCTTATATCATATATTTGTCCGGTTTTGAATGATACATCTAGGTCGTTAACTGCGGAAGTGGCACAGAGGTTAAATCAGTTGGGAGGACACTACCAATTATTTGGCCTATTGGGAAGGTAAGGGTATGGAGATGTAAAAGTTTCACAGCTGGATGTTGCCACCTACCAATTATTCATGGTAGTCTCATTCATCAGGTAATGAGGTTATACAACTTGCGCCCCTCTCCAGCAGACTTAAGACTTATATTAGCCTCAGAAACTAGGGGCATATGCGATAGTTTTATTTTTCTGCGACTCTTTCTCTCTATGCAATGCCTAGAATTGATTTTGATAAAATGAGGAATTCACAAATGTGCACCACATTTAGCTAACCAAATAGTCTTATTTACTTCAGAATACATTGTCATCTCCATCAAGAAAAACTCTTAAGTAACTACAGACGTTAAAAACATTCTAATTGATGTATACATGCATGCTAAAGAGAAATGCTTGGCAAAAATTGGTGTCAGTATGTTTGGTTTTCCTTAGGCATCTCCAACCTTTACCCCATTTTTTGTTCCCAAAATGGTAATTTTCCCATTTTGGGGACAACTTACTCCAATCATTCTCCCATTTTTTCACCAAACTTTTTTATATTCTTCTCTCTTCTATATTATATTATTATCTTTCATTTCAATTTCATTTTTTAATTTCTATTAAACAAATTCCATCTTTTATTTTTATTAATTTGTAATTTTCATTAAAACAATTCCATAAAATTTTAAATAATATAATTTATAAGCAATTATTATAGATTAACTAATAATTCAAATAAAAGTGAAATCATTGCAAGATCTAATATTTTATATTCACACCTTTCAATTTTAGCAACATCTAATATTTTATATTTGCACCATTCATTTTTTGAGATAATTATATATTTTTTGTACAATTATAACTTATAATAAATTAACTTACAATTTTACGTAAAAATAATAAATGTACGAAAATTAATTTATAAAAATTATACACCAAAGTTAAGGTGTAAAATTAATATTATAAAGACATTACATAAACATAATTAGATATATATATAAAGAGATAAATTAAAAGATTAAATAATAAAATAAAATAAAAATAATGAATAGTAACGGGGAGATGAATAGTGTACCCGAGGGAACACTACTCATCCCCATTTTGGGGACAAAAATGGAGAAGGGTTGGAGCTAAATTACCCAAAAATTGTCCCATTGCGGGAAATAGGGGTAAGATTGCCTTATGAGTATGAGTTAATCCCCAAAAAATGCAATTTTAGAACGAATGGCATCATTGATTGTCCGACCAACTTAGTAAGTCATTCGAAAACATAAGAAAGGAAAGAGGACGGAGAAGAGATTTTATTCCTTAAATGCTCTAGCTTCCATGAAAGAAGAATTATCCTCCTTGGTGCATTTTCAATCGGATTTAAGTTAATAAACACACTATGAGTGATCTTTTCTTTCTTTTTATTCTTTGATAAGGTAATAAGTGACTGATTATAAGTATTTTTTATACCGTCAGGGGCATAGAACTTAATTTTCAACCATCGGTAAACTCGTAGAATCACTCTCTTTACCTTGAAAAGAAAAAGAACGGAGCTCTTCGATGGAACCAAGTTCATTCCGTGGGGTATGGAAAAACTCAATTTTTGTTTGATCAAACATTAAACAGAAATCCATATATCTCGCAATCAGTGACTTCAAATAACACTTCAGTAATAGAATACGAAACTCAAACTCAAAAGTTCAACGTTCATAGGAAGAGAAACAGAACCATTAAAAAAAAAAGATTGTGTGAGAGATAGTGGAAGAGAAACGGAACAATTTCCAGAAGAGAGCAGACAAATTGCAAATAAACAAAAGATACAGAACCTGCTCTCCCATTGGTACAGCGAAGCGACAATCACAGCAGCGGCTAGAAGCAACACAGTGCACGCGCCAACTCCCGTTGACCGTTACAAAAGCAGTGTCCATATAACAGTCCACCTCCATCCCAATCGCCTGCATGTCGAGCGGAATCAACGCCGGCGGATCACAACGACCGTGAACGTACGGCTGATAGCTCGGAATATCAGGATTATCCACCATCGACGGGTCCCTAATTACAGCGTACATCATTGGTCCCATCGGCAGGTAATTAGTCTCTGTAAAAGATGACTTTTTCTCCATTACCAGTGGCTTAGGCGGATTTTTACCGTAGTAAATTCGTTTAGCTAACTGAAGCCCCATGTCCACCGACGTTGCAAAATCATCAGCCATATGTTCCGGCGAATGCTATTATTCTTCAACAGAGAAAGTGAACAGAATCTAATAAAGCAGCTAGAAAGTGTAGTACTGCATTAATGGAGACAGAGAGTATTAACCTTCAATTTTCTCATCTACCAATAATAATAGAAAGAAGCAGGACTTGATTAAGACATATGGAATGGAATCCTTGTGGTCAACTTTCAGACGACAAGCTAAGCATGCTCACTAATTACACATTGACGTAGCATGCTGTAATTGGTTAATTAAAGAAGAAGACAAAGTAATTGTTTCTTATTGATTGAAGAGGACGTAACATTAAAATTTTCTTTTACTGTTAATTAAAAAGTAGTATAAATGAGAGGAAATTATATTAAAAATGTTTAAATTATAAATAAATTTGTTTTGGTCGACTTACAAGAAAGGGACAAGCCTTTTTGTTGAATGGATAAACTGCTAATTTAGTGAAAGGAGACATTCGTAGATATGATTAAGATAAGCATATCCCTCGTGTCAAATAAAGAAAATAGCAAGGTCTAGACCACTCCTTTAATGGCTGCCAACACCTTCAAATAATTGATGTACTTTTCCACCCACCATAATAAAGAACGCAAATACTGGCATATTTGAAGGTTTTATGTATTTGAACTCTCTCTTTTTTTTTTTTTGCTCGATCATTGAATTCAAGAACAAGATACTAGTATTTGCACCCCATGTAATTTGTAAAAGAACATAAATAAAAAGGAAGAAACCCTTAGCATGTCATTTTTTTTCTTGCTAGTTCATTTCTTAAAAATATCTTCTTGACCCGAGGGTTTTCCGGAAACAATTTCTCTATTCTCTCGGATAGGGGTAAGGTTTGCATATTCACTATCCTCCGCACTCAAACCCCATTTATAAGTAAGGTTTGCGTATTCACTATCCTCCGCAGACCTCATTTATGAGATTTCACTATGTTGTTTGTTGTTGTTTTTCCTAAAAATATCATGGGATTCCTTTTTAATTTTGTTATTAAAAAATATTTTTTTATACGGAATTTTTAAATTTTAAGTTTTCATTTTATTTGTAATTACAAGCTTGTATATGCTTCAGACAATAAATTTTATAGAGCCGTTTGGCTCAAATCAAGATATCTTATGATTATAATCCTAAAATTGTAAGCAGGAATAAAACTTAAATAACTTATTTCCACCTTTTAAATAAGATAATAATAATATATCTAGTATATTCTCGGTGTGGGGATTGGGAAAAGTAATGTATACGTAAACTTTTCTTACTTGTGGAGATAAAGAGTTGATATACCATTGGCTCAAGAAAAGTAATTCTCAACAGCTAAAAATAACATGAATTTTAGCTAATACTTTCAACCATACGCGAGATGAATTTATTTCCAAAATTTATGTAGAAATAATTTACCTAATTCCCTTGAACCAAAAGTGTTTATTTCATTATAAGCTTCATATATACCACCTAGGGGGGATTTAGGACAGCGAAAATTCCTTTTGTCGAAAAATTATACTGTTTATAGGGCAAAATCTATATTTTATATCTATATGTTATTTTTTGAATATCCTTAACACAATCCAAAAGCATATTATGATAGTCAAGGAAATTCAAAACCTTTGTAAAGTCACTAGTTCAATTTACACTAGCCACAAATTCTTTTAATTTTTTAACTTTTTTTCTTTTTTAAACCCTCTGCGCTACTGAATTACGACCACCGTATAAATTGTAACAAATGCAAGTGAAAAATATTAGTGGTGACCAGACAGTAGGATTGATTGTGAAAGGTAGTGCCTAGTGGGACTTGCCTATGACTAAATAGGATTGAGTGGGACAAGTTGGTGGGACTAACTAACGTTGGCTATTCATCCAAAAAGAAAGTATACACCGTTGGATGAAAAGTTTCGTCGAGAATCGACGGCGAAATTATATGGTGCCAGATATCCGAGAATGTCTTACTCCAGATGAGTAACTCTCAAACCGAAAAGAACAAATGTGACTATTAATGGACAGGCTCAAATCAACACAAGTAAAAGTCAGTAGACGGAAAGCAAGAAATGTGTGAAATGTGGAATTAAGAGAAAAGGAGGTGAGGTAGGGACCCAATAGGTATTATTTCGTTTGATTAATGGGAGTGGTAGTTGTTGAAATCATGTGACATAAGCGTGGTTAATGTATTAATTTAAAAACATTATTGGGGGAACCAGCAGTATCTATTTGTCCCCATTATATAGTACTCCCTAAGCATAATTTATGATGGGAAAGAGGACCAAACATCGTGGATAACAATAGTAATACTCTCTCTCTCTTCCAATTTAACTTATTTCCAAAAAGAATTATTATTTTTCTAAATTTGATAACAATTTAACTTAAACTTACAACTCTATACTTAATAAGAAACTTTTATAACCACACAAATATTCTTGTCCCCTTTTTGTTTTGTTTAGGACCACAAATTTCAAAAGTCTTCATTTTTTTCTTAAATTTCGTGCTCAGACAAAGAGGTTCTCATAAATTGGAACGGAGAGAGTATTAATTATTAAGTACTCCCTTCGTTTCAATTTAAATGAGTTGATTTGACTCGGCTCAAAGTTTAAGAAAAAAATAGACTTTTGAAATTTGTGGTCTTAAAAGTGTAAGGGTACAAACTTTTTGGGATCATTACATTATGGTTATAAAAGCTTATCATTAAAGATAAAATAGGAAAATGAATAGCTTAAAAGTTGAATCATTTCCAATTGTAAGAATGTGTCATTCTTTTTGGAATGGATTAATAAGGAAAGTGTGTCATCTAAATTGAAACAGATAGAGCATTAAGATATTTCGATATTTTATTAAAAAGGCAGACTGATGCATTAAGCTTTCGCTAAGCGCTGGGTACCGGGAATGGCCGGACCACAAGGGTCTATTTTATGCAGTATTACCCTGTATTTCTGTAAGAGCTTGTTTTCACGACTTGAACCTGTGACCTCCTGGTCACATGGCAGTAACTTTACGAGTTACGCCAAAGGCTCCCCTTCTTTCTATATTTTACTGATATATAAAATTTAGATAGGATTAAAAAAACTCTTAAAAATAAGTTTAAAGTTAATGGGACTAAAATATTATTTAAACAAATAAGTATCACGTATATAATTTTTTATTATTATTAGGAAAATAGAGGTTGCTCTAATGGTAAACAACCTCCACTTCCAACCAAGAGGTTGTGAGTTCGAGTTACCCCAAGAGCAAGGTGGGGAGTTCTTGGAGGGAACGATGTCGAGGGTCTATTTGGAAACAGCCTCTCTACCCTAGGGTAGGGGTAAGGTCTGCGTACATACTACCCTCCCCAGACCCCACTAGTGGGATTATACTGTGTTGTTGTTGTATATAATTTTTTTTATTATACGTTGTTTTTTTGATAGATTTAGGCAAAATACCTTACCACCGCCCTAAATTTGATACGGATTATTAGTTACAACCTTAAACTATTTGTGGTCTTAATTACCCCCTCAACTTGGCCTTTTGAGAGCCAGTACCCCCTTGGACGTTGATGTGGCAAAGAGTGCAGGTGCAATCGCTTCCCACGTGGATTATTTACCATATGTGGCATTTTTTTAAAAATAAAATATATTTTTACCTTTTTAAGTATGTTAATTATTTAGATATTTTTTTTCCGAATACAATTTATAATAAAATTTGGATAGAACTACATTATTTATGCTATTTTTTTTTTGCTAAAAATAATAAAGTTTTAGTTAATTTTTTTTATTTGACCTGAAAATAAAGATTTATACAATTGAAATAAATAGTCAAGGCATCTAAAATGTTATAATACATAGTTTGAAATTATTTTTGGGCTATATTCTTTTACCTGAAAATAGTGTATTCATAGAGTAAGTTATTTCTTGCAATTGTACATTCTTTTTATTTCTTCTTTTAATGCAATGACTATTTTTTCAAATGTGTATTTTTATTTTCAAGTAAAATATGTAAAAAAAAATATATAGTTTTAGAGCTCCATAATTTAGAGCTATATAAAAAATTATAGCCAAAATAATTAATTTTAAATTATGTATTTTTATAATTTTTTAGATGCCTTGACTATTTATTTCAATTGTATAAATCTTTATTATCAAGTCAAATTCAAAAAATGATGAAGTAAAACTTTATTATTTTTAGCCAAATAAAAAAATTTAGCCTAAATAATGTAGTTCTATCCAAGTTTTATTATAAATTGTATTCGAAAAAATTATCTAAAAAAGTAACATACTTAGAAAGGTAAAAATATATTTTATTTTTCAAAAAAAATGTCACATATACAAAAAAATCCACGTGGCAGGCGAGTGCACACACACTCTTTGCTACATCAGCGTCCATGGGTAATAGCTCTCAAAAGGCCAAGTTGAGGGGGTCATTAAGACCACAAATAGTTTAAGGCTGTACCTAATAATTCGTGTCAAGTTTAAGGGATGGTAATGTATTTTGCCATAGATTTATGCAGAATATTCTTAGATATTGTAATCTTTCAAAGCTGTGACATAAAAACATTTATTTTCTTAAAGTACAAAGATCAGGATCAGAAATTCATAATTACCCACGAATTTTGTTTGAGCTACTCTTCTTTCTTTCCACAACAAATTTTCAACGGAAGGACAACTTGTTAGATAAGAAAACAAACAACCATTTGACGCCAAGTATACCAACCCGGCCTGAAACGGAATACATAAGAGAAATATATATTTTTAGTCATTTAAAAAAATTATATTATATTATATATATATATACTTTAATACTTTTCGACTTTAAGTTAATTCGACAATATTGTATTTGTATGAGACATGAGGCTCAAGTCCAGCCAGCTGGTTCTCGTAGTAGTAATTGCGTTTGACTTTCCGGTCACTGGACCACGAAAGACTTGCAGAATTCTGAGTTTCTTCGGATAAGATAGCCTTTTCCAAGATATGAAATCTTATACTTTTAAGCTTGCTTGGCGTAACTGCAAAAATTAATTTATTTTGAGAAATATTTTTTTTTCAAAATTATTTTTCTCAAAAGTATTTTGTAGTGAAAACCATTTTTGTGTTTGACTAATTAATTTGAAAAACACTTCTGAGCAGCAATTAGTGTTTGACCAAGCTTTTAAAAACTGTTTCGAAATATATTTTTCTCAAAAGTATTTTGTAGTGAAAACCATTTTTGTGTTTGA